GCAGTGGAAACTTTTGAACTGCACCTTTAAAATTTCACCATATATACAAAATAAATAATGTTGGAAACACTAAAAATAGGCAACAGGTGTTTTTTCCATGCCACCTCGGTCACCTCTTTACTTGTTTTACCCCTTAACTGTCAACTTAAGTCAAATTAAGCATATTTAAATTTGCATATGTATTAAAGTACACAAAGAAACCAAAAGATTGCTGTTACATGCAGCAAAAAAGTAGAAAGTGACAGTATGCATTTAAAAAAATTATAGGAGGTCTACACTTTATTTAAAGAAGAAGTTGAGACTTAAATTGGTTTCAGTTTGTAGGCAGATTGAATTGTTTTTCTGTCTTACTTTGGATTAAATTAGAAGCACTCAGTAATTTAGATTCTCAACCACAGCAGCAAATCTCAAACAGAATGACAGAAAAAGAAAAGATTCAAAGTGTTGCAGTGATCCAAAGTCCAGACTTGCTGTTTCAGGACCTTAAGAGACTAAATGTTAATAAATGTGGTATATTATAGTTTAGTGCCAACAGTTTATCACCAAACAGGACTTGCCCAGTTTCTGTTAGACTATGTGATTGGCTAATACCTTTTCCCTTTGAAAGTTCAATAAAAGAGTTAGAGAGATAAAACTCTGCTGATGTGAAGGAGCAGCAGAGACGAAGCTTTTGTCCTTCGTTCGCTGCTCACATCGGAGGCTGCTCTGGAAAACGTGCAGCCAGCTGTTGTCTCTCACAAACACACTCACATAGAGCACGCCGCCCCTTATTAACACTGTTTTCTGCTTTGATGACAGAGACATTTTTCAGTAAAAGCTCAAATTACGTTGGCAGCTTTTTATTATTGCTCTCACTCCTTTACTACCAGCTACATGACAAAAAATATGCAATCCCACCACAGCAAGAAAACAGAGAATTCTGTTGTTTTTATTCATTTTTACATGATTTTTTTTAAAAAAAAAGATGTGATTATTTACCAAAATATTCTCAATGTTTAGACTTTTTGAGTGACTATTATCCAACCTAAAGCATTTAAAATGAGGAATTATAGCAAAATACAAATGTTATTGTAAAAGATGCAAATGGTGCTTCCCGTGTGGCTGCTTCACTCCTGCTTCACTCCTTTGTTGTCTGCTGTTTCTGGATGAACCGTTCACGCTAAAATGGAAATGCGATGGATGCGTAAAAAGATATTGCATGGTCTTTTGAAACAGTGAGAGTGCTTTCTTCCACTAGACTGTACATCAGAAATATTAAGAATTTTCATATTTAGTGTGGAGTTAAAGTTTAGTTTGCTCTTCACGCCTGCTTGAAATGTATCCTAAAACAGAGCAGAGTTTAAAGGCGTCACGCTTGATATTTATTTCACTCCCAAAAAGCACTGCACATTTGACACACCGTATGCTCCTTGGCTGGTGTCAGGTATCGGGGCCCAGTGGACATGTGGTGTGGGGACACTGGGGCTAAGAGACAATCAATAAAGCTTGTGCTGGCCAGGCGTCAGACAGGACAAGCCTGGCCAGTGATGAACAAAGAAATCATCAAAAACAGAACACACACACCTCAAACTGTTCCTACATCAGGACGTATCAAACAAAAGGCAGAAAACTGCAGAAGTCTGAGAAAAACCTTTTTGTGTAAAACATCACAGCAAATAAAGAACTGCTTAGTGTGCACAACGATATGTTTTTATTTTTATAAGCTCAGATTATTCTCTCACATGGTCAATATTGACTCAGAATTGCATTACACTGCATGATTCCCAGGTAACTATACCATCTGTGTAGGGACTACGCACAGAGCTGCTCAGTAATGCAAACTGTGCATGTGTTAAATAAACCAACAAACACATTTATATATGTGTAGATGTCAGCTTGTATTGACCTCATTCTGAATGAGACCACTTGTATCTAAAATACAGCGTAGGCTGTTTTTAAGCATGTGTAGGCAGGTGATTTTAAAAATACTCATGAAGAAGAGGCTGGATAAATCCAACCCGTTTCAACCCTTCGAGAGAGCATGCCTTTGTCGTCCTCGCTCTCTCGCCTGTGCAGGGGCTGCTGCAGAACAACCCTGAGCTCAGACAGCCAATGAAGACGGAAAGAAACGTGAAAAGAGGGTGGGACTTGATGTGAAAGCGAATGAGAGTGAAGGAGAGGTGTTCCTTGCGGAGAATGCCCTTGCTTGAGCATTGAGAGCCTGGAGAGACAGAGAGGGAAGATAGAATAGAGACACTAGCAGGTGTTGAAGATAGGGAAAATCATTAAAGACCGGGTGGCACAAAACAACAAGGCAATTAGGGGAAAGTGTGTTTAAAGGCAAAAGTAAAGAACAGAAAAGAGTCAGACAGAAACTCAAACAATCTGATTCTTTTTTAATAAGCTGGAGCTCACTTATTTTTCAGCTCTTTATCCTCCTGGTTTCGTACGGATTCTCCTTTCTCGATCATCCCCTTCTTCCTCCCGTTTTCCTCTCTGACAGACAGTGCCACCATGGAAACTGGAAGCCCGAGGAAGATACAGTTCACCGTCCCTCTACTGGACACCCACTTGGACCCAGAGGCAGCTGAACAGGTAAGGTGGAGGGAAAGGAGGCAGGAGGAAAGGTGGAAGGAGCAGGAGGTGTGGGTAATATGGGACTTTTAAGGGATTCCTCTTTGCATCAGTGGGACACGATTAGAGTACTACTCCCACTTTTTTAAAAAACAATCAAGATGACTAGTGAAGATGCAAGAAAAAAATTGCTTTATACTTGCAACTCTTTGCAAAATCTCTGCACACATATTTAAAGCATGTGTAATCTAGCTGTCGAAGCAAGCAGGTGTAGTCAGAGCTGAGCAGCTGAGCATGCTACATCCCAAATGCTGTAGTTTACACTGATGAGTTTTCTGTGCATCTAATTAGCCTGACGTATGTTTTGACTACAGCTCTAATGTGAAGATGATGAATTCATAACTGATTCTTCCATCTGCACTCGCAGTGAGGGGCTTTACCGAGATGCATAGTATCTCAGCGGTGGTTAAGCGGGGTGCCGCAGTATATTGATGTCTCTAGGAGGTCAGTGTTTTGTTTTTCATTAGTGACTGACTGCTTGTATCCTACAGCAATGAAATGCTGGCAGGGTGAATGAATTTAACTCATTCATCATTAATGGACTTTTAAGGTAATTTAACTGCACAACTCAACTTGATTTGTGGCAAACACCACTCCTATTAGTGTCTGAAGGAGCTTAGTGAGTGCAATCCATCCTTCTGTTGGGAATAGAGTGAAAAGAGGTGTCCCGTTTTCTCATTTTTATAAATATAACATGAACAGGACAGGTC